CTCGATCCTGATACTAACACACACATACACACCTTACACACACTTGCACAACTGAGAGGATGTTTCCATACATTGACACTATGGATAAACTCCCACTGAAGATATTACCAGTGAAGGTCTGTGTGACAGTTAAATGTAACAGTTAATGTTGGTTATTTCTTAAAGGAAAGAGTCACATCTGTCTCATCTGCTTCTGTCTCATTATACCAAAAATATGTTCATCTTTGTGTGTGTGTGTGTGTGTGTGTGTGTGTGTGTGCAACAGCAACCGCTTTGTGGGAGCTAATGGATCCAAAAAAATGAAATAATCAACTCACCAATAACTGCATGTTGAGCAGCCAAGTGCAGCCAAATTGTTTAAATATATATGAAATGTTTACAATATGTAAAATATGTTTTAAGTCATCCAACATCATGGATGTACATCATGATAACATGTTTAAGGTAGATGTACTCATGATTTCAAACTGTATGTAACGTTGGTGATTTCAGAACATTCATTAACATGAACATTAATGCTGAATGTACATTCGCTCCTGTTTTTCATCAACATAATAAAATATTGTCTTTTCTTGGTTCTCATATTTCCTCTAAATGCATAAAAAGGCTGTTGGTATTTTTTGGTATACAAACACTTACTGCACAGGAGCACAGCTGTGGTAAGTACAGTAGGTCAAAGCTGAAGAAGGAAATTGATATGTAAACTTTGATGGACAACAAAGACCCACTGTGTGTGACACAGTTGGACGCACATATTTTAATTATTAATTTCAGTATTTAGATTATTTACATTTATTCTTCTATGTCTTTTTTTCTCAGTCCTTGTGTACCTTCATGCTTGCATATATTAGCTACACTGTTCCCTGCTCCCAGGTTACAGCTTTGTCAACAATTTGAGGAGACAACTTCCTGGTGATAAACTTGTATGAGCTGAAGAGGAGCACCTGAACGCCTCATTAGTTTTGATGGTTTTTGGAAGAGCAGCAAGTTCAGTCTTCAGGGCGGTGATTCCTTTAGAGAGTTCAGACCCTGCAGCAGCTTTAAAGGAGCAATATGTAAGAATTTTAGTTTGAAACATTCAAAAACGTATTAAATTTATCAACTGAATGTAAAGAAATAGCAGCATTCACGTTACGTCAGAGACGTTTATGTATTGTGTTGCTGTGATATCTACTGAAGTTAGCTGTTTCTAATGATAGGTGTGGACACTTTCTGGTGATATGGTGTCCTTAAATTTGTTTAGAGTATGAGTTTGACAGGTAGCCAATTCTTATAGCGCAGTCAGTAGGGATGTCTCTGTCTTCCACCACAGCCATTCAATTAGCAGGCTATGAAAGTATTTTTGTTTCTATATAATTTTAAATATAATGTTTTATGTTTTATATTGCAGTTTGAAACACAGTCATACACTGTAACTACTTCTACACTGACTTTGTATTTAAAGGCATCATGAATTATTTTTAAAACAATTGCGCCGCCTTTTGGACAATTTTCCACATTACAGCTTTTTTCCCCTCAGTGGAAGCTCTGCTGTCATTTATTTCATATGTGCTGATTGATTTTTATATAATAAAGGTAAACCTTTTTACTTAAACAAAATTTAAGTCTGTAAATTCCAAATAATTCAACCTGAGTTGTCTAGAGAAAGTGTCCAGTTGGTACACTAACAGTGGATTAATTACAATTAATTGCTTAGTTATCACATGTTTTAGTCAGTTGGACATGCATTTAGTGTAAAAAAAAATACAAAATTACAAGTAGGTCTTATAAACTTTCAATTAATGTTTAAAATGATAAGAGAATAACAGAAGTTAAACAGAAAATAAAATTTAAAAAAAGATCATTTTGATAAGAGAGAATATTAAACCAGAATTATTCTGATTACAATAAATATTACAATTACATGAATAATACATTAATACATGGCTTCTAATTCATTCAGTGAACCTTCAGGATTGTAAAAAACAACTGATTTCTGGTCATATTTAGTTATTTTCCTTTATTTTTTAGCAATAATTTCTTTATACGTTCCATTTAAATAATTTTCGGGATAAAATTACATATAAATGTAACTATTGATTTATATGTTGTTTTCTTGTGACTGAAGATTTGAGCTGAAGTTTGTCGGTCTGACAGCAGGTGGCAGTCTGAGCTCAGGGATGGACAGAGGCTCAGGTAGGAAGGTTGGACACATTAAATGAGTCTAACTAAGATTTGTAATCATTTTTGTGATTTGTCATTTCTGTGTTTAAGGATTAAAGAACTCACAAAGGGAAACAACAGGAAAACAGTTGACTGTGATTTTGCCCAAAGAGGCAACTAAAAATACCCTCCTGATGTTTAATAAACATATTTATTATGAGGGTATAACTAATCCTGGGTCAGCTTCTATATTATTTTTTGAGTTATGAGTTTTTTATTTTTATTTTCATTAGATTCATTCATTAGAGACTTTTATTAGGCTACTACGGCTCAGTTTGTATTTTCATATGAGGCTACAACTGAACCTGGGTCCCAGAAATAAAATGTATTTCATTTTATTGTTTACTTTTACCATCATTTTCCTTTTTTATTTATTTTTATTTTTACATTTTTTAATATTATCTTCATTCTTATTCTACTTTATATTTTATTCATTGTTTTAATGAAAATTTTGTAATTTTCATTTTTTATTTTTATATCATTTTCATTTTATTTTATCTTATATTATTGTATTATGTTATTATTTTTGGATTTTTATATGTGTAACTGATCTTGTTTTTTACAAATGAATTAAGAGGTCAGTATTTTTT